GCTCTGCAGTTCTTAATTATTGCAAAGAAGATTAAGACAAAAATGATGGATAGAAGTTTTTAATGACTGATTAATAGATGTTTCCCTGGTTTAATATATGACTACCATGGTGTAGTATAGTACTTGAAGACTGAGATATTATAAAGGATGATGGGGAGCAGCTGAGGGAACTGGGGTTGTTTAGTCTGGAGAGGAGGAGGCTGAGGGGAGACCTCATCGCCCTCTACAGCTACCTGAAAGGAGGGTGCAGAGAGCTGGGGATGAGCCTCTTTAACCAAGTAACAAGCGATAGGACAAGAGGGAATGGCCTCAAGTTGCACCAGGGAAGGTTTAGACTGGATATTAGGAAGCATTTCTTTACAGAACGGGTTGTTGGGTGTTGGAATGGGCTGCCCAGGGAGGTGGTGGAGTCCCCATCCCTGGAGGGGTTGGAGTCAGGTTGACCCAGTGCTGAGGGATATGGTGGAGTTGAGAACAGTAAGTGTGAGGTTAGTGATTGGACTAGATGATCTTCAAAGGTCTTTTCCAACCAAGATGATTCTGTATAGTTAGTGGGACACCTATATGTAGCTCTTACCTATAGTAGTTTGTGGAATGCCTGTATATAGCTCTTACCTAAAAGCACATAGCAACAAAGCAAAGGGAGTGTATGCACTCGGTATACATTAGCTCTCATTGACTTCACACTCTGATTTCAGGAATCATAATTACTTTAACCTGATTTAGCCACACTCACTAGAAAAAAAAAAAAGTGTACTTTTGATAAACACATAAGCAGTGCTGAGTCTTTGCAAAAGGTATCAATGGGTTCTTTTGATGAAGAACGTGGTGCTGCATAAAATCAAGCAACATGCATGTACCTGCCCTGGGAAACTGCCCTTGGACCTGCCCTAACACTATGGCATCCTTAAATTTTCTGAAAACTTTTAGAATTTATGATACTCATTCTTATCAGTTAGATTCCTCAGCTGCAAGACTGAAAATAACATTTCTTCTGTAAAGAGTTTAGGGAGAATGGAAAAGTGCTACTTATGAACTATTTAAAGGCTGAGTTTCAAATTAAATTGATTTAGTGATACTTATGAAGAGGTTTATGGTTTAAAATAGGATATTTTGAAATTGTAAAATGATAAAAATAGAAAAAATTAACACTTATAATACTTGAGTCACATACTTGACAGTTGTCGATACATGTATTTTGCCAAATGCAGAGTTATTCAGGCTACTCCACTTTCCAGCAAGAGCACCATAATGTCTTGTCCTCCTGGATGACTAGTTGCATATGAACTTCTTTACTGATACAAGATGTTGGAGTCCTACAATCCATTAGACCTTTTACTGCTCATTACTGCATCAAAATAATAAAATATTTCAGAGTTCACCATTTCTTGTGCTTTTCTTGTGGATCTTGGATTCTACTTTCTGTTAAATTCTGGAGGGCTGCTCTTACCCTGTTTCGATGTTTTATCCAAGTGTGAATAAGCAATGAATATCCTTCACTGACAGTTGTTCTCCACTTAATGAATGTTACAGCATAGATACAGTGTCTGGAGAGCTTGCCCAGAGTCCATTTCTTTTTCAGGATACAGTTTCTGCAGTTGCTTATCTGGAGAAGTGTTACTACAAAATGATTTGATGTAGTTTTATACTTCTAGGTTTCTAAAATGCAATTTGGCAGGTGAAACAGCTTGGCCAACAGCCCATGCATTAGTTTACCAGGAATGATCTGTTTGCACTCTGCAGATGACAGCATAGTTCCTTCTAGTGAAGAATTTGGAAGATACTTTGAAAGCATAACCAAAGTATTCGGTCATTTTTTTTTTCTTTTTTTTACAGAAAGTTTCACTTGCAGTTAATTTATTAATAGAAAAGATACTTAGCCTTACCTGAAACTCCTGTTGCAGACATTGCCTCTGCTGAGAAAGGATCCTGTGATGTATAGCGTAGCGTTGTTTGACATGATGGCCTAAGGAGAAGAGATCTAAAGTATGTGCAGATTATCCTGAGCAATACGCTCAAAGAACAACTACATGGAAGGAACAAATGATCCTTAAGGTGTCTTACTGCTCCACTTAGTGTATCTTAGATAGCTTAGGTATCTTACTGTTTTGCTGGGGTTTTGTTTTTTTGAAGGTTTTATGATTTTGCTGTCTGCACTTATTATCTGTATAAGTTACTTGCTCTGAATATGACTTTAAATCTCAGGTTCTTTCTTCTATGTGATATTACATAATTTTTCAAATTATTTTAGTATATCAAATGGAACAATATAATTTTCTGTAACAAAAAAGGGGAATCATAACATTTTGCTATTAATTTAATGATAGCAATATTCCTTTTTAAAAGCATTATAAGTTATCTTCATAGTTAACATAAAGTGAATAATATGAATAGTTAATAAAGTCATATTTTTATACAGCAAAGTGAAATTTAAGATTCTGTAATACATACAAGGCATACTATTTTTTACTGAAAATATTTGCTGTGGTATTTATTTAACTTAAAAAATGTGTATAATGCAGTTTTGGTTCTGAACTTTAATACCGTGTAACCGTTTCTCTCATGAGCCAGTAAATAAAATGAAAGCCTATACAGTCATTCTATCTAGGGGCCATTCCTTTCTGAATTGAAGCACTGTAATCAATTGATTGAAGTATATTGCATCTCTTAGTTCAAGAAAAAAATGCATTGCTTAATTATAAGTGGCTTTTCCTATTTTACCTTTATTTTGTAAGATGCACGCATACAGAGAATTATTGAAGTTATTCCCGGGTATCATCAGCAGTGTTTTCAAATGTATTCTAGTAAAATAGAGAGAAATGCTTGCTGGCCAGAAATTTGTGAAATACAAAGAGGGAGAAAAAAATACACACTCACACATCTCTTTATACTAAGTTGTGCAAATTAAATTAAAATTTATACTTTTTTCTGGAAGCATCATACCAAGAGCAGCAATGAGTTTTTGATGTTCCTATCTAAAACTTATTTGCACTATGACAGTGTTGAGTGCTTCTCTCCTATGAGCTGTTTTCCACAGTGACTGTCCTTGACCAAACCAGAAAATGAATTTGATTTCTCTAATGCAAAAGGTAATTGGATTTCTCTTTATGGAATGCATCCCTTTAATGACTGTCTCTGCTTCAGCCAATTTAGCTTCCACGGACCTGACATTGATCTGGTGATATAACTTTAAACAAATGCCAAAGCTGGGAGATGAAAGACCAACTGTCTGGTATCAGAAAGAACATTTCCTTCCTCATATTGCCATTTTCCTCAGAAAATGTCTCCTTCTTGAATGTCATTCTTATGAAATGTGCTACTCTAATAATTGGTCATAGAGCAGCAGATTGCATCCTTCTACTAAATACAATAAGTATTACTTAGAAAGTGTCTGGGAGAAAATATTTTGAAAATGAAATAAAAACTCTTGAAATATCTGTTCATCTTGACAAATATTCATTACTATGTAGACTCTTCCTAAGAGGAAACAGTATTTTTAAAGTAATGGATTAAATCTTTACAGAAGTCTTGTTCAGCATTAAATATTTATGGAAATATTTATTTAGATAATAGGGATCTTTAAAAAGTGCCATAGCATCTGAGAAAAGGCTTACCTACATAAAACAATTAGTAAAGATGGTATTTTGGGACACAGTCTCTTATTTATTCAGGCTAGACTTAATGCAATCTTAAAATCCTCTAATATGTTTTTCTATTTATTTAACATATTCATTATCCTTTGGACCCAGCCCTTCAGGCTGATATGCTGAGTACTTTTAACCCCAAATGGACTTGGAATCAAAATTTAGAAGTTGAATGTAGTTTACATGTAGTTTTAATTTCATCATGGGCCATGTGTTCTTTTTGATAAACACTGTTAATATTGTTGATTGAAAGTGGTAGCTCACACTCTGGATGATAAACTGGATTATAGAAACTCTGTATATGAAAATAAGAGTGGTGGAAAATAAAAACAAGAAATCTAAGTTATTTTATTTGAAATCTTATTAAGAGTTATTTTCAGACTAATCAAAACAGTGAATGATTTTCCACTGTGTACTGATAACCAATGAAAGATAGTAAGAATTTGTTATACTTATCTGTATTTTGAAGCAGGTGCTCACCCTTATTTCCTTTATCTGTTCAATTATTTCTTAATCTTTATGTGTGGGTATGTTTTCCATGCTTCTGGATCTCTTGCACAAAGGAATTGATGAGTTTACTGTAATGTAATTTTTGGTGCTTTTTAGTACAGTTAACTTGAAGTAAATGGATATAAAAACAGTTTCCCAAAGGTGCAAGCGCCTGAGGAGTGTTCACCTCCCTCATTTAGCTGAAAGTAATTTTTAATACTTTTGTGTTCCACGCAGAAGTAGTGCATGTATATGAGTCTCTGGACAGGAAACAGATGGCCTCTTTAGATAGGAATTATGAAAATGAGAATAAATATTTCATACTTTATAAATTTCGTGCAAGTTTTAAGGGATTTTTGTGTGTCTATTCCCAAGTGTGCTTTTCTTACTGATAACAGAAGGGAAAGGAGTATATAAATGGCATATAGTGCTTAATTCACAGGATTGCACTCCCTGGCTGCAATTCTGATTTCAAAAGTGGGAATTTTGCTGATGCTGCTGTCAGGGAAGTGGGACCCCTCTCCCAGCCTGGACCAGAAATCTTTGTAGCCATCAGGGAATATAGTTTTATATACTGTAGATTGCTGTAACATTTCGACTAGTTCCTCTTCTTAACTTTGGTTCTCCACAGGTTTCCTTGTTTCTCAAGGAGTTGTGTGCACTTCTAGGGGCAGCATATGTAGGCCAATAACCTTTATCTTGATTACAGATAACACGAGAGATATTGTTTTTCTACTGTCTAACTAATAAAATTATCAGAACTGAAGCAGACATGTCATCCGTAAAAGAAAGTGTTTTTAAAGTCCGTGATAGTACTTTATTTTGTGATGCCAGTTTAACTGTATATTATTTCTTCTTTCCGTGTAGGTCACTGATATGATGCTTCAGGACAAACCCTACCCAGACTGGGGAAAGTCTGCCAGAGCATTCTGGAAGAAAGGAAACATAAGGATAATTTTATTCTGGTAGGAAAACAGAAAAATCAAATTATTGTAAATGAATATTTTATAGAACATCCAAAAATGTATCTTCTATTTGTCTGTGGCTCTAAGAAATATGGTTGGAAAAAAATTAAACTTGGTCTAGCAAAAAATTAATTACAAAAGCTATACTTGAGTGAACAATTCCTAATCAAAATAGTTGGTGTAAACATATAATCCTAAAATTGATTTATAATGTTTCTTTTATCTTTGATGCTGTTTATAACTGAATTGTAAAATTTTTCCTGTATATGATAATATTTAGATGTCCCATTGTGAGTCCTTGTAGTTAAGGTAAGTATGTATGTAAGTGCCTTTTTGTGACCTTGAAATTAATTGTAGCTATTTTGAAATAACACATGAATCAGATTTCAAATGGTGAGTCAGACTCAGATTATTAAGAAAAATATTTCAAAATCATTGGGAAAAATTATGAGGGGAAGGTGTTAATTTGACCCCAAATGTAGCCTCTTCCAGGTAAGTTGTAACTGTTAAAACAGAAAACAAATTGTAGCAGGAAAAATGGAAGATGGAAAATGTATAGTCTAGGAGGCACTCTGAAGATGTTATAGCTGAAGATGAAAGAAATGGGGGTTTTTCAGCTACATCAGAAGGAGAAAACATCATTAAAATATCAGCAGACCTGCTGTTTTTTAATAAGTAGATTTAGAAGGAATTGTTACAGAGAAGTAGAAAGATTTATTTACATGGATTCTGGACGGAAATGCACTGAAATATCAATAATTTTAAAGGAGTAAAAATGAGATGTTATATTAAATTGAGGCGATTAAAGGAAATAGAAATTTAAAGACTAAAAAGAAAGCAAAATCAGATGGTTGATTAGCTACAAACAAGGTCTGTAAGGAACTGAACGGGCTGAGCTGATGTAAATTTTACTAGCACTTAATTGCCTTTTGAAAAACTGAATGTTAAAGATTGGCTATTGTTTCGGTTTTGTTGCTTTTTTTCAACAAACAATAATTATTCTACTGTCCTGTGAGTTCAGTATTAGCTAAATGGATTGAATATATCATCAGTAATAGAATTATGAGCAGAACTCTAGATCAGATTTTGCTAAAAGAAGCCAGGGTAGCTTTGCTGAAAGAAAACCACCTCTGATCTGTTAGAACTCTTTGAACATGTCATCAAAATAATGGATGAGGAAGAAATGCTTGATCTAATTTATTTGGACTTTCAATAAGCTTTTGACAAAGTTCCTTATTGAAGGCAGTTAAGAAAACTAGTAAGCCCCATGGAGTGTGCTGAACATTTAGGAATAATCTCAGAAACGTCCAGTTAAAAGTATAAAATAAAATAATAATTTTCTTCTACATTGATAAGGCAGGGGAGTCCCATTATTTTATGTTAGAAGTATTCATTATTTATATACATCATGTATATTAGTGACATGATAAAATTTAAGGATGTTGTGAATAATTTGACAAATTATATCATGGAAGAGAGATCTTAGAAAGCTAGATGAAAAAAATAAAATGATTGAAAAGTCTGAGTTATGGAGGGATGGGGGTGGGGTTCAAACAGCTCCTTGTCATCATTGTGGCGTGTGCAGAGGAAGATTCTGACTCGGTGTGCTGGGGTGGGCAAAAATGTAATGCAAATGAATAAAAAAATGCTCAGATAGGTACCTAGTGGGCTAGCAATGATCACAGTGTCATTTGGTTAAGTCAGCAAAAGCTCAGGCTAGAACATTATTGATTTTTTTACCCTTGTCTGAAGTATAGCCTTGTCTGAAAGACTGGAAAGGAGATTAATTAAGAGTAAGAAAAAACTTAATTACACCAAAAGACCGGAAGAATGGAAAAAAGGATTAAAAGCAAAGTGACATGATAGGGAGAGTTTGAATTTATATGCCAGACAGGGAGAACAATAGAAGACTATTAAAAGTACTTAAATATTATTGTGAGAGATGTTTTGACTTCTTGGAGTCCACAATGTTATAAATCCATATTCTAAATAATCTTCACATTAACAAAGCCTTCCAAAAGTTTAACGTCAAGATAAACTAATACATTTTCTTTTCATGCATGATTCTTATACTAAAGAGTATGCTTAATGGGGATTTAAAAACCTAAAGGGTGACATAAATGCTTTTATTTTTAGCTTTAAGCAGCGAAATAAAATAGCCCTGGGCAACAGTCTACATTCTGTAGAGACATTATTTAAATAGTCCACGTTAGACGTCAGTAAAAGTAGACTTTTTTTTTTCCCCTAATAAGTAGGAAAAATAGAAGGGGGAGTTAAAGAACTGATAATGTTATGCACAATAGTGTGGAGTATTTGTATTTCTTTTATTGGTGCTCAAGCAGTGTGATGTGAGCAGTCTCATTTCTGAAATGTCCTAAATGAAGCATTCTCAATAGTATGTCCTACGCAGATATTGGTATACCAAAATCCATTAATTCAGGACATTTCCTAGTGGCACACCTGTTTAGCAGAGATAGCGTAATAGAGTGCGCTGTATTTTAACTATTCCAAATATAGATGTGATGCACAGTTTAAAGTGGCTGATGAAATGAAAATTTTAGATACACCCTGGGCTTGTTTTTCCATCAATGTCATTTTTATCTTCAGGATTACTTTGTAAAATAAGAAAATGTCTATAAACATAGCAAAGGCAGATGGATTGTTATGGGGATGAAGGCGCCATCCGCTTGTTTATGGCAGTTGATCATGTGACTGCTTTGTGTTTCTCACTTGTAAATGTTTTTAGCTCTCCAGTGCAACCAATTAGCAAAGGTTTTGGTTTAGCTTATCATCTCTTGGTTTAAATCATTCCCTGGAAATATTGTTAGCAACTGGTTGTTGGGTGCTCCTGAGCATTCTGTCTGACTTTTTAATGTCTTCACAATATAATTTTCCACAAACAACTGAGCTAGCTCAAAAATATCAATTTGCTGTTTGTCTAGCCCATAACTAAGTTCATTGAAGTGCCTTGTACTTTTTTTACAGTGAGGAGTTGTCTTTTTATATATATATATAAAAAGGTCTCCATTTCGATCATTTCCAGCTCTGTTCATGGCTAATGCCATAATTCAGAGGCACCTTTGTGTAACGCTGTTATGGACTGTGCTATATTTCATAGTGATACAATGCAAACACAAACACACTTTCTTACAGATTTAAGAAAACATATTGTGAAGATGGCTTTTAGGAAGTAGTGAAGTATCTGGAACCCTGGTGGAATTACTGGGATGGTGCAGACATGTTTGTTGATTACAAAAGAAAGATACCCACAGGGAGTAAAATATCCACAGCACCTGGCAATCAGATGAGGCTGCAGTAGAGAGACAACTGTCTCCAGTGGTCTGTGGCTATCGTCAGTGTTGTGAAGTTACAAGCATGAATTGAAACAGGATAATTTATATTTTTTTGATATGTTGATAATGTGGCTGTTTTGGGAGAGACAAATTATATATGACATGGGAGTACTGGCATTTGAAAGAAGCAACAAGAAAAAAAAGGTTGTTAAATTAAGCCAAATAAAGCTCTTGGACAAGACTGACAACAAGCCAATAGCAGTAGCTAGTGATAAGTTAAATAAATAAGACAATATAGAACAGTAGATATTTTTAAAGTGGGATATTAGAGAAAGCAGAAATAGAAATACAGTGTGAGAAGACTGATTATTTTGCAAGTAAGTTTTTATTCCCCTGTAACACAGAGTAAGTCCAATGTACACCAAAGGTGTCTTTTTATAAGGAAACCACTTGTTGAGACAGAGGAAAGACAAAGACATTAAAAATTAACTACAATTGGAAGAGAATAATGTTAAGAGAATTAATGAAAAATTATTTAAAACTAATTTAGTAAATAGTTATGGGATGATTGCTTTTATAGCATTTATAGTATTTTTCCAAGAAACCTGTGCAATATTCAGCTTTCTAGATGGTTTGCAGAGGGCATGATGCTCTTACACATCTGCACAGGAGCAAGGTCTCACAAGCAGTACAGGTGACATTATTAAAGCCAGTGCACACTAACACCACAGTATATGCTCAGATTATATAGTCGTCGCCAGTGTCACCAAGGCCTGCGGTTAACCTCTGCCTAGTTTGTGCCTGAAATCACCATCCCCTCATTACATTGTCTTCCGAAGTGGCCCACCACATCTTGTGAAGAATCGAGCATGGTAGTTAGAATAAAATCATGAGAACATTTCTGGGTTATGTGCAGTTTGGTTAATAGAGGCAAGACCCAAATATTCTCTTTTGACAAACTGTTCCAATATTAATTATCCTCAAACCTTTCCTAACAGAGGATGGGGGGGATTATACTGAACAAGACTTAAAGAGTTTTTCATGTGAACTTTTAGCTGTAGGGAAAAACAAAACACCAACGAAAAGAAACAAGTTTACTGGAAGAGAGGAAAAGAGCTGCTGAGATCTGTGTTACCAGGGAAGAGAAGATTGATATTTGAAGGTAGATTATCAATATGGAGGAGTGTAGAGCTAACAGTAGATTGTGCAGCTGAATATTGATTGAAGGCAAGGTGACAGAATAATATATAGAAGATGAACATTTGAATATGCAAGTAGTAGACTGGAATCCATTTCCTTGGTGTCCCTGGCTAGACATTCGTTGTACATGTACACAGTGATCAGTCTTCATTGGTGCAATAATGTGTCTTTGTCTTATGACTCTTTCCTGAAATAACACAAAGCGCATACCAACATGGAGAAGAAATAAAGTAATATGGAGAATTGTAAATTTGTCATTCTGTTTGTTTGCTGTGTTTGACTTTGCAAACTAAATAGTCTTATCTTAGTATGTATTTCCATAAGATCACTCCAGCTTTCTTTATGAAAAATAAAACTAACATGCTCTGAAGTGTATGTTAGTAATCACAGTACTTTGATTCAGCAAGTAATACAGGTTTAAAAGCTTTTATTCAAGTTAATTGTTCAGAATTGCTACAGAGTACTAATTCATGTACATATATTTATAGAGGATTGTGTTAAATATGG